TAAAGAAATGGCCAAATATTAAAGATTAAGTGGCCATTTGAATTAAATAATGCTTGGTAAATATTAAACAAGTATTAGATCGCACAGTAATGTGTAAAAACAATCGTCAGGCCTTTGTTGTAATGCGTAATGTACATTAGCTCTATTCACTGATCTATAATAGAGATTATATTATATTATTTTATAATTATATATAGATCAGTGGCTCTATTATATTGTAATACAGTATTTTAACAGTTTTGTTCAATAAAACCATATGATTTCTTGCTTTTGATACTTTATTTGAACTAATTATTATTGCCTCATTGCTATTATATATGTATTTTAAGTAAATTTAAAGGCTATTTTTCACTTAACCTACATCTATTTTTATTACCACAAAAATTAATTATTAATTATATTGTATTATTAGTAGACCAGAACAGGTGGACATGTTGTCATTCTTACACTATAATACTGAACTCGGATTTCAGTGAGATGGACACTTGCTTCTTGCACTCTATGTTGCACTTTACTTTTGTAATAATTGTAATACTTACAATTTTTAATAATAATAACTTTTAATAATACAATTTTAATACTTGATTCTAGTGGACTCTAAACATTGCATTTATTTAATGTGAAAACCCAGCTGTTGGGGTTAATTGAAACAGATTTTTTCCCCTTTGCACTCACAGCTGTAATGAACAGAAGCCCAGAACATGTGGATATATTGACATTAAAAACATGCTGGCTTTCTCAGACTTTTTGTAATTATTTTATTTTTATTTCATTTTTATTAGGTTTGTTCAAATGTTTACTCTTTTAGTTTTATATTTCGTCAATGGCTTGTTTACATTTATATTTTTTTATGGTACACTACTGAATGGCAGAGTTGCAAGTTTAATAAAATGTTGTTGTTTTTTTGGTGTGGGTAATTAATTGTTTAGATTAATCGATAAATTAGTCGATAGATTGATTGAAATAAAAATAGTCATTAGTGGCAGCTCTAACACACACACACACACACACACACACACACTCACTCACTCACTCACTCACACACACACACACACACACACACACACACACGTTTGTTTTTGTGAAAAGTGGGGACTCTCCATAGGCGTAATGGTTTTTATACTGTACAGACCGTATATTCTATTGCCCTACACCAACCCTACCCCTAAACCTACCCCTCACAGGAGACTGCTGGCAATTTTGGAATTTCATAAAACACCGTTTTGTAGGTTTTTTAAGCCTTTTGTTTTACGGGGACACAGGAAGCGTCCTCATAAACCATGTTTACGTTGTAGTACCCATGTCATTATACACATTTGTGTCTGTTTGAATGTGGCTAAGCCTCACTCTCTCCTTACCCACTCAAGTCACATCAACTCTCCACCTCTCTCCATCCATCAGTCGCTGCTCCCCGGAGTCTCTCTCTCTCTCTGTCTGTCTCTCTCTCGGATCGATCCAGGCCTTTGAGTCATTGGCCAGTGTTTCTCTGATGCTCGAGTGTCTGAAATCAATCTAAACAACTTTAGGAAGGCGCATTAGAAGCCACATAAAAAAAATAAGAAGAAAGACTTGTCATAAAGGACAGATCCGTTTTTAATCATGCTTTTTAATCAGTTCTTCTGAAACGGATGGTTTTGAATGCTAATCGTTCATTCCAGCGTTCCAGTCATGCTAAAACACGATATAATGGCATCTGTGACGTGAAACAGAAAACATGTATATACCACGTTCATTTAACTCACGCAAGGTCGTTGTTTTGATTTCCAGGAAAAGCTTGAAGTGACAATATGTACATTGATAAATAAAACCAACAACAGAATTTCTGAAAAAATACAAATTTCTTAGGGCTGTATTATTGTAAACATTATAATAAATTACGAATTTATTAAAGTTTCATGAGTTTAATTGATTAGATTAATTGATTTAATTTATGTTTTTTGATTGGCTAAAATTTAGTTAAACCTCTAAAACAGAATCCAGAAAAATAAAACGTAAAACACAGAATTTGGGAAAAAAATACAAATGGATATCATAGGGCCCTAAAATTTTAATTTTTGTTAAACTTTTCATGTTAAATTGTATAAGTTTCATTATTTTAATTAGCTTTTAAATACTATTTGATTTAAGTAATATTAGAGATTATTTTTGATTACTAAAATTTAATTTAACCATTAAAACTGAAAATTAAAACAAAAAAAACAAACCGTGGAATCCAGAAAAATAAATAAATAAATACATAAATAAAATGCGAACATAAAATGGTTTCCATATAAATGCAATAATGACTATATTTAAAATGTATCACAGACTCTTAATTAATCGAATGAAATAACTGGTGTTTTCTTTTGTTTACACGTTTGGATTTTGCAATTTTTTTCATGACATTTCTAATGTTTTGTGTAAAAATTAGTGCTGTCCAACGATTAATCGCATCCAAAATAACAGATTTTGTTTACATAATAAATGTGTGTATACTGTGTATATTTATTATGCATATATAAATACAAACACATGCATGTATATATTTAAGAAAAATATGTTTATATATTAAATATATTTATAAAATATAAGAATATAAATGTATAAAAATTTAAATATTTTCAAAATATATACTGTATGTGTGTGTATTTATATATACATAATAAATCTACACAGTACACACTCAAATATAACGTAAACAAACATTTTTATTTTGGATGCGATTAATCGCGATTAATCGTTTGACAGCACTAGTAAAAATGTAATTGTAATATTTTATACACTATATTAAGCAATTAATTAATTGCATCTCTCTCATAGCAGGTCATACTAAGAAAGAAAACCAAAAACATTAAAATCCTTTGGATACAGTCTGACCCAAGAGTCAAAAGGGTCAAAGGTCATGACCTTACTTTGATCCCAGATCCTTCCCTTCCGCTCTGGTGACCTCATGTTCCACACCTTCCCTAACAAATCGAAGGCGAAGACGTCAGTCAGCATGGAGAAGACGTACTCGCTCACGGCGCATTACGACGACTTCCAGGAGATCAAGTACGGCAGTCGTTATAGCAGCAGCACGCTGAGTAACGGCATGAGTCTACAACTGGGCGGATCCCTGGACCGTGGCAGCCGCGGCCGGAGTGGGCGGGACAAGTGTGTGGGCGGGGCCATGGGCGGAGCCGGGGGCGGGGCTCCGGCCCGCTGGAGCCGTGTGTGTGTGTGTGTGTGTGTGTGTGTGTGAGTGTGTGTGAGTGAGTGAGTGAGTGTGTGTGTGTGTGTGTGTGTGTGTGTGTGTGTGTGTGTGAGGACCTGTTTGAATGTGGCTAAGCCTCACTCTCTCCTTACCCACTCAAGTCACATCAACTCTCCACCTCTCTCCATCCATCAGTCGCTGCTCCCCGGAGTCTCTCTCTCTCTCTGTCTGTCTCTCTCTCGGATCGATCCAGGCCTTTGAGTCATTGGCCAGTGTTTCTCTGATGCTCGAGTGTCTGAAATCAATCTAAACAACTTTAGGAAGGCGCATTAGAAGCCACATAAAAAAAATAAGAAGAAAGACTTGTCATAAAGGACAGATCCGTTTTTAATCATGCTTTTTAATCAGTTCTTCTGAAACGGATGGTTTTGAATGCTAATCGTTCATTCCAGCGTTCCAGTCATGCTAAAACACGATATAATGGCATCTGTGACGTGAAACAGAAAACATGTATATAGCACGTTCATTTAACTCACGCAAGGTCGTTGTTTTGATTTCCAGGAAAAGCTTGAAGTGACAATATGTACATTGATAAATAAAACCAACAACAGAATTTCTGAAAAAATACAAATTTCTTAGGGCTGTATTATTGTAAACATTATAATAAATTACGAATTTATTAAAGTTTCATGAGTTTAATTGATTAGATTAATTGATTTAATTTATGTTTTTTGATTGGCTAAAATTTAGTTAAACCTCTAAAACAGAATCCAGAAAAATAAAACGTAAAACACAGAATTTGGGAAAAAAATACAAATGGATATCATAGGGCCCTAAAATTTTAATTTTTGTTAAACTTTTCATGTTAAATTGTATAAGTTTCATTATTTTAATTAGCTTTTAAATACTATTTGATTTAAGTAATATTAGAGATTATTTTTGATTACTAAAATTTAATTTAACCATTAAAACTGAAAATTAAAACAAAAAAAACAAACCGTGGAATCCAGAAAAATAAATAAATAAATACATAAATAAAATGCGAACATAAAATGGTTTCCATATAAATGCAATAATGACTATATTTAAAATGTATCACAGACTCTTAATTAATCGAATGAAATAACTGGTGTTTTCTTTTGTTTACACGTTTGGATTTTGCGATTTTTTTCATGACATTTCTAATGTTTTGTGTAAAAATTAGTGCTGTCCAACGATTAACCGCATCCAAAATAACAGATTTTGTTTACATAATAAATGTGTGTATACTGTGTATATTTATTATGCATATATAAATACAAACACATGCATGTATATATTTAAGAAAAATATGTTTATATATTAAATATATTTATAAAATATAAGAATATAAATGTATAAAAATTTAAATATTTTCTAAATATATACTGTATGTGTGTGTATTTATATATACATAATAAATCTACACAGTACACACTCAAATATAACGTAAACAAACATTTTTATTTTGGATGCGATTAATCGCGATTAATCGTTTGACAGCACTAGTAAAAATGTAATTGTAATATTTTATACACTATATTAAGCAATTAATTAATTGCATCTCTCTCATAGCAGGTCATACTAAGAAAGAAAACCAAAAACATTAAAATCCTTTGGATACAGTCTGACCCAAGAGTCAAAAGGGTCAAAGGTCATGACCTTACTTTGATCCCAGATCCTTCCCTTCCGCTCTGGTGACCTCATGTTCCACACCTTCCCCAACAAATCGAAGGCGAAGACGTCAGTCAGCATGGAGAAGACGTACTCGCTCACGGCGCATTACGACGACTTCCAGGAGATCAAGTACGGCAGTCGTTATAGCAGCAGCACGCTGAGTAACGGCATGAGTCTACAACTGGGCGGATCCCTGGACCGTGGCAGCCGCGGCCGGAGTGGGCGGGACAAGTGTGTGGGCGGGGCCATGGGCGGAGCCGGGGGCGGGGCTCCGGCCCGCTGGAGCCGGCGTGAAATCTGCCTGCTTTCTGCGCTAGTGTTCGCGGCGGGGATGTGTGTGATTCTCGGATGCATGCTGGCACTGAAGTTTCTGTCGCTGGAAGCGCAGGATTCTCAGTGTCGTCAGGATTGCGTGAAGCGGCGCTCGCTGCTCCGGGCCACGCGCTTCGTCCAGGGGAACGTCGACCCGAGCGTCCAGCCCTGTCACGACTTCTTCAGCTTCGCATGTGGCGGGTGGCTCCGGAGACACGGTATACCGGAGGATAAACTGAGCTACGGGATCATCACCGCCATCGGAGAACAGAACCAGGAGAAGCTGCGGCGCCTCCTACAGGCGCCGGTGCAGAGGAACGAGCCGGACAGTGCCGAGAGAAAGGTACAACCTCACACTCGGAATATTTGCTTGGTTTAAATGCATTTAAAAAAAAATCTCTCTCACCGTCAGCGTGGACGATAAAAACTCGTCACGCAACGCCATACGGGTGAGAGAGTGCGTTTGTGAGCGTTTGTGAGTGTAGGTATTGCTCCAAAGTAACACAGCTGGTGTGTGTGTGATTGTAGATCGTGTGTGTGTGTGAGTGTGTGAGTGGGAGTGTGTGAGTGTGTGTGAGTGTGTGTGTGTGAGTGAGTCTTAGGTATGTTCAATTTGCCAATGAATCTTTCCTTTGATTTGGCTCTTTTTTTTCTTTTTCTTTTTAAGTATTTGTTGAGAAAGTTTCTGGAACAAAAAACACAATATGAAAGCATCAAACTGAAACACATTACATTTACAGTAAATCCCAACAGACACAAATAACTTGTGTTTCACTAAATATGTATTTAATTACAAAATGAGCATTTAAAATGCCACACAGAAACCAGAAACTTTTAAACTGAATATTTGCACCTGTTCATTCAAATGAATCACCCAAATGGTCTGAATCACTATAATGATTCAGACTTCTGAACTCCAGTGTGTGTGTGTTTGTATAAATCTGTGTGTGGTAAATGTGTACATGAATTCAGACCGTTTTGTGTGAACAAGCATGTTTGTGTTATTTAACATTCTTTCTCTTTTTCGCAAAGATCACTGTATCTGAATACGACGACCAAAGAAAGGACATCAGCAGCGTGTACAACCGAATAACACTGAAACAACTGCAGAAAATGGCTCCAAGCGTGAGTACACACACACACACACACTCTCTCTCTCACACACACACACACACACACACTCTCGCTCTCTCACACACACACACACACACACACACTCTCTCTCTCACACACACACACACACGCATGCACGCATGCACACACGTAGACAAACACTCTCACACACACACACACTCTTATATTTAGTGTGTTTTTATTTTTAGCTGATATTAAACAGTGACTTTATTCTATAGTCTACATGTTTGGTCAGAGTACCATATTTTTCATAATGAGTTTTTTTTTATAATTTTGAATGTGCGGCGATTCATATTCTAAAGCGACTTATATAATGATATTAACGTCAAGCATGTAAAATGTGCAATTGAATTGATGGCGAATGTAAGAGCTCAAGTTTGTGTTTATACAGTGTATTGTTATTGTAGTTATCACCAGCTTGGGCTGATCATACTAAACCAGTTTAAGCCCTTGTTAGTGTTCTAGCTAGACAGTGTCACTACGGTTTGGGACTGAGCCATTGTGCCGAGCCAGACAAACTTAAATAGAGATTAAGGAGAGATGCTACTGGCAAAAACATTGCTTATTCATGCACTGGTCAATTTTGTGATTTGGGGCTTTTCATAAAGTGTTTTTTCAAGACTAGTGGAAACATTTATGCTTCATTTATGCTTCATTTATGACACTTTATCTATTTGTGGCTGTAGATTTCAATTATAATACATATCTTTAAAGAGATTTTTCTCCACTTCTGCAGCACGTACATACACCAAAACTTAGAGTTTTATTCCTCTCTATATTCTGAAGG